TCCTCTTCAGTTTGATGCTGTTTTCTTGGTTTGATGGCTCTTGTGATTTCATTCTTGGAATAGCCATTTGCCAATTCAGATGGCTGAATTCGGTGCTGAGAAATTGAGCTTCACAGTTCTGATTTGGATGGTCTACCAGTGCAAAAACTTATTATTATTATTATTATTATTATTATTATTATTATTATTATTATTATTATTATTATTATTATTATTATTATTATTATTATTATTATTATTATTATTATTATTATTATTATTATTATTATTATTATTATTATTATTATTATTATTATTATTATTATTCCAGGCACAGTCAACATTATAAAAACATTTAGTGTTATTATATAGCAGATACAAGTTTTAACCAAAAATCTAACTATCTGTTAAATATTGGTGCAGTATGTTTGCTGTTCCTAATATTTCCATTTTTGTAGCTCTTGTGATTTGATTTCTGAGATTTGCAACTGCTTATAATACTGTGTGAACTTTCTTGATATTCCTCACAAAGTCTCAATGTTTCATCCACAAGCAAGATGTTTCACTGATGAAGATGATGGTAGTGGTGATGAATTCTATTTCTGTACCATTCATATGGCTACAAGGCCACTCTGGCCAGTTCACAACATGATAAAACAACAAATAGCACTTTAAATAAATTCACTGCACAATAACAGTACAAAACTCAAATCAAACATATCAATCAACTTAAACAAAGAAAAAGAAAAACTGAGAAGAACTAAGACAACATGAAAACAATTAATAAGATAAGGTGGAGGAACAAGTCACTGACATGTTGATTGCCCCTTTGCACTCTTACAATGTGATGTCTAGGAAAGCCTGTCTAAACTGCCAAGTTTTCAAAGATCTCCTGAAAATTTCCAGTGCAGGAGCCAGGCATATTTCAGGTTGGAGATTATTCCACAAGTGCTGAGAAGACCCCATTTCTGATCTTCTCTTTCTCTATGTTCCTTGTTGTCTGGAGGTAAATACTGTATTTTATTCATTTATTTCAGTATGGTGCCTTTCTGCCATTTTTAGAGCTTCATAGTGCAGTGTTTAAACTGCAATACTGCAGCCAAGACTCTGCTCATGACCCGGGTTTAAACCTAGGTAGCTGGCTTGAGGTTCACATAGCCTTCCATCTTTCCAAGGTCAATAAATTGAGTGCTCAGCTTGCTGGGGTGAGGAGGCAATGTGTAGCCTGCATAATTAAATTGTAAACTGCCCAGAGAGTGCTTTAAGCACTACAGGGTGGTATGTTAAATGCTTCTTTTGTTGAGTTAGATAAATGTCTTTATTATTCTTGTTTGTTATTAGTTACCTATTTACCATTTTACCAAAATAACTACAATGAAAGTATAGAGTGGCACCATTTTTAAAATTTTATTTATTTTGGAATGTAAATTTTAAAATCACATATTAAAATTAGCTAGATAACAACCCTTTTGTGATTGAAGTGATAAGCAGTTCAAGATGGATTTTTTCCCCCAGGATATAAAACTCACTCTTTGTATCTGTGCTATATTAGAGACAACATCACATGGCATTAGTGTTGATTGTAGTATGATGACTATGATCGCTGGTAAGTGCTATATAGTATAAATAACATATGATTGTCTTGGTATTGAAACGCATTAATAAATGGTGAAAATTGCCCAAGACTAATTTAACGTTTTCCTAATATGGTGGTTAATAGAGAGAACCAAATGAATCAGTGGCATTCTAAAACACAAGACACTAACATTGTTTGACGGATCAATGGTCAAAGTACTGAAGAAAGGATAGCTATTTATCTTAATGGGAAAAAACACTCCTTCTGTGAGTGTATATCGGCTGCCAGATAGAGAATGGGGACTTTGATGATTTCTTGGAATCTGAAAGGTTTGTCCTTAATCACTGTCTGATGAACAGAGCCCTTGCAATTTCTTGATGTAGGTGCAGGCCTATTATATTTTGTTGTGGTCCTTTTCATCAGATTGCTGTGGCTGTTCTTTTCCAAAAAACCACCTATCTTAATATACTTCATATCTGTCCAGATATATATATATATGGCATGTCTGTAGACATTACTCCACAAACAACAAACAGGCTTGTGGCACCTTAAAGTTATATATGGTATAGGTCTTCATATACTTTTGCTTACTTCATCAGTTGTATGAAATGTTAGCAAAGTGAGTATATATATTTATACACAAGTTTGAATGGGACTGGGGTAGAAAAATGCAGAATGCCTCTCTGAGGCATGCAGCTGCTGTGTTTTGCTGGCCATCTGGAGGAGCTGAGACATTGCGGGATCAGGGCGAGCAGGAGAGAATATAAGCCTTAAAAAGGCTTCTCAGCCTTGTGTCGCCCTCTTCATTTGAAACAAGTTGGAAGGAGCACAGTCAGTGGTGCAACGGTCCACAGTGGTTTTGCTTTCAACCACATGGCCGTGTGACTCTGGGTGAAGAGGAGTGAGGGACCAAGCATTGACTTAGCCCCACAGTTTGCCTTGTGGTTCTGGTGTGGGGAGGAGCCCTGGGCTTCACCCACCTAGTTGGTTTTTTAAAAAGAAAAGAAAAGAATCCCCCCCCCAAAGGAGGCAACTGTCAGTATGCAGACCGTGCAGCTGTCCACTGGAGTTGTTTTTTTAAAAAAAACACTTAAAGAATACAAGTGTAAACCACAGTTTACAGTATGGAGGGGGGGATAAGAGGGAGGTGCAGAGAGGAATCCAGTAAGCAATGAGGTCATTCCACTGCTCCCCAAGCTCCCCCCCACTTGCCCCCTCGCTGCAGTTACCCCTGCCCCCATATTGGTGGGGCTGTAAAAAAAAAGCCCTTGGGAGGATTGGTTAAGTCTAGATATTAAAATTAGGGATACTAATGTTATCAATAATTGAATAAATAAATAAACTGATAAATAAATAACAAAGGGAGGGGAGGGATTTGGAGTTCATGCAGTTGATTTGTGTTGGGGTACAGTTGATTGTATCAATATATATAATTAATCATAATAATAACAGTATTAATAGCTAATTGTAATTTTAATTAATAGTAGGTTATAGTTATAGAAATAAACACACTGATAGGATACTGTATTTACTGTCAGACATCCTTGTTATCTATGGTTATCTGTGGCATGGTTCCCAGGAAGAATCAAGGTGGGAAAAGAGAGAAACAGCCTGCTAAACACAAGGCTCCCCCACGGTCACCTCCCACCATTTCCTCATCTGGGGATGAGGACTAGCCTGATTATAGGGCAATATGGGACAGGCTGAGTATGTTAGAGAGGGAACGAGAGCAGAGGAGAGGGCGAGATAGTGCTCCAGTGGTGTGTGGGTCCTGCAGGGAGTCTAAAGCTCAAAAAATTGCTGAGCTTAAAAGAATGGGTGATCTGATGATGTCACATATTGCTGTTTCGGAAGGGGAGTGATCCAGCCCATCAGGTGCTTCCTCAGCAGCAGGTACTCCAGTGGTGCAGCAGAGCGAGGCAAAGGCCTACAATCAAAGAGGCAGCAGTTCTTGCTTGGAGTCCTCCGGCACTCAGACAATGTGATGGATGAAGAGGCACAAAGGGGTTTGTCGGCCGAAAACATTACAGTACAACATGGTTCGACGGAGGACACCAGGTCTGGTGTAGCAGTGCAGGAAGACCCAGTTCCCATGAGTGCGCTCTTGGAATTACCGGTAGCGTCACAGCCAGTTGAGGGCACCATAACATCAGGTATCACACGGGCCGCAAGTGTTTGGCCATGGGGTACTGGGAGCCTTCAGGTGCCGGTCCCTTCAGCTTTGCCTCACCTCAACAGTCGCTAGCCATGAGGGTTCACATGCCCATGGGAGCAGGTTTAGGAGAGTCGCCAAGTAAAAGTTTCAGTCAGCCTACTGGGCTGCCAGGATCAGGGCAAGTGGTGTTGCCATCTGTGGGGGAAAGAGGGTATAATTCTGTGGCACATTGTGTCCTCCCCAAGGGTGATCAATCTTTGCCACTATGTGACCATCTCCCACCAGCAACAGTGGAAAAAAATAGTAGAAAAATATGTAGATGTATTTGATTTATTAAATAGAGAAATAGGGAAATAGAAGGACAAGGAAGAAGAAAGGGAGATGGAGAAACTACAAAGGTGTAAGCCTGATTTTTGCTGGGCAAATTCGTTGCGGGGGCTCTTTATGCAGGAACAGTAGTTTACACTCATCTGGAATGGGCCTTGCTGTTCTTTCAATACATGGACCTGATTTACAGGGCCTATGTGGATTTCCCGAGGCATGTGTGGCTTCTTTATGATAAGGGCTTCCGTATGCATGCAACGCTGCACTCGAGCATGTGCTGGGATGTCCTGCGTGACGCCCTGTGGCTTAGGTTGATGACTCCATGCCGTCCTGTGCTGGGCAATAGATTTCATAGTGGCCATGTAGTACAAAGAGTACAAGCTGGCAATTCCCGCATGGTTGCGGGGCAGGTGGTTCAACCCCACCTTTTTTGCTGGGAGTTCAACACTAAAGGAGCATGCAACAGGCGACCTTATAGGTTCAGGCACCAATGCTCTATCTGCAGTGGTCCACGTGTGTCAGCAGCATGCCCTAAGGGGCGGCCTGGCAGGAACACTGGTAGAGACTCCAGGGATGGTCACAAGCTGCCTGCCCCCATCTAATACACGAAAAGGGACCCAGTCCAATTAAGGTTCCTGTTCTGGAGCGATGGCTTAATATATACCCTGATAAGGTTGCAGGTAATTTTTTGTTAGATCCTTTCTGCTTTGGTTTCTGTATACCAGGGTCTTGCACTCCGGTCAATTCATGGGCGAATGTCTTTGCTGGCTTTTTATGCCAAGGTGCAGGGATGTAAAGGTTATTCCATAGATTTCTACATACAAAAATGATTGAGGTTTGGGGTCATGAATGAGGTAAAGTTAAAGATTCTCGTTCACCTTTTCCCCCAGCTGTCCTACCTAAATTGGCAAACATGTGGCAGCTAGTGTGTAGGAATCACTTCGAGATCTGCCTTTTTAAGGGGGCCTTGCATATAAGTGAACTGGTAGCGACAGCAAAAAATGACACGTTGCTATCCTCTTTGCAGATGAAGGACGTAGTCATATCCCAGGGCCAGGTAGCCATTCATTTGTGTTGGTCCAAAACTGACCAACAAGGAAAGGAGAAGTTTATCATATTAGGCCAATGTTCCTTAACTGAAATTTGCCCTTGGAAGGCCATGCAGGACTATTTGCAGCTTAGAGGGAACGATGATGGTGTTTTTTTGCATCATGCAGAGAGGTCATTCTTGACACAGTATCAATTCTGGAAAGTCACATCCCAGGCCTTATGCCAGGTTGGGATTCAAGGGTGGCATTTCAGGACTCATTCCTTCAGAATCGGTGCCGCGTCCATGGTGGCAGCCCTTGGGTATGGAAAGGAAGACATTAAGAAGGTGGGTAGATGGGTTTCACATAAATACTGTGATTACATCGGCCCTGTGCCACAGTTTTAGGTGCTGCCATTGATTGCATTTTTCTCATTACAGGTCCACAGAGACCATTGTCCCATGTACGCATTCTGTTGGTTGGGCACAGTGATATGTTTTGGGCAGCAAAATATGCCAGTCAGACCAGCTAGGGCCGAAATTGGATACTTGGCACTTTGGCTGCTTTGGAATGGAGGGGACTGAGAGGCCTGCTTTGGGACAGGTTCCTTGACTTGGTGTCCCTGGATTCTGGTGATCCACCTGGGATGCAATGACTTGGCTCAGAAGTCGGGCAAGTCTTTGATACTACAGATATTAGCTGACATGAAGGCCTTTGCAGTCAGCTGTCCAGCCACATGCATCATATGGTCAGCTATTATTCCACGGTTGCTATGGAGGGTCAGCTGCGACCCCAGGCTTATAGATGTGAGGAAAGGAGTTAACCGGGAAGTTGGCAGACATGCATCATATGGTCAGCTATTATTCCACAGTTGCTATGGAGGGTCAGCTGTGACCCCAGGCTTATAGACATGGGGAAAGGAGTTAACCGGGAAGTTGGCAGGGCAGTTAGGGCCTGGGGTCAGTTATATCAGTGGTTCTTAACTTTGGGTTACTCTGGTGTTTTTGGACTGCAACTCCCAGAAGCCTTCACCACTAGCTGTGCTGGCTGGAGTTTCTGAGAGTTGCAATTCAAAAACACCTGAGTAACCCAAGGTTAAGAACCACTGAGTTATATCACATCAGAGTATTAGAGTTTCTAGGCCAGAGTTATATAGGTCAGATGGAGTTCATTTGTCTGATGTGGGGTTAGACATGTTCTTGGGGGATTTGCAAGGGGGCCCTAGGGCCAAAATATTCAGCTTGGGGGAGAGCACAGGGCATACAGGGGGATTTGCAAGGGGGCCTTAGGGCCAAAATATTCAGCTTGGGGGGGAGCACAGGGCATACGTTGTAGCCCTGTTGCCTTGGTGAGTAGTGCAAAAGGAATAGGTCCAAGTGAGTTCAAAAGGGGGCAATCAGGCGGTGCCAAGCACCCCTCCTCTCAGGTTGGTATGAGCAGAAGTTAGCTGAGGGGAGGGGAAGCAAGGCATCCAGCAAGGGGGCCTTAGGGCCAAAATATTCAGCTTGGGGGGGAGCACAGGGCATACGTTGTAGCCCTGTTGCCTTGGTGAGTAGTGCAAAAGGAATAGGTCCAAGTGAGTTCAAAAGGGGGCAATCAGGCGGTGCCAAGCACCCCTCCTCTCAGGTTGGTATGAGCAGAAGTTAGCTGAGGGGAGGGGAAGCAAGGCATCCAGGTAACATTATGCCTGGAAGTGTGCTGTTTGGTAGCATAGATTGCTTGCGGATTAGGAATCCACTTAAACATGATCTGGATTGGAATTCATAACAGACTCTGCGAACAGACCAGAATTGCACTATGGTAGGCCCCCTTGTGAAAGGGGAATTAAAGTTAATAAAAGTTAATAAGATTGTGGCCCAGTTACCCCATGTCATGTGTCTCGTCTCTTTATTCCGGGCTGGGCGAGCGAAGCACAAGCATTTGACAATTAGCTACATGTTTATGCAGTAGTAAGCCCTCCTTTCAAGTAAAGATGCAGGAGATGACACAGCCTTAACTTTCAAACAAGAGATCTTACTTAATATCCCTCCATATGGTTAAGCATTTGCATTCTTCTGCTATGTGCACTTCTTATGGCAATTCTAACATGATTCTCAAGTTATATGAGATGCTTGAGTGATTTTACCATTTCCACTCCCCCCTGCCCCACCCACATGAATTTCCATGGCCAGGCAGTGGTTCAAATCCTAGTCTCCTTTGTCTCCTAGTCTCAAGGTATTCTGTCCACTGCACAACACTGGCTTTCAGTTTCTGGGGTAGGATACATACAGAGTCAGATCACTCTTTGTTATTCTTCTGGTTGCACAGAAGTCCTGTTTAGGATGTAATGGTTACAGTCCTGAGATAAGAAGTGGCATTTTGCATTAAATACGTTGGGAAGCTATTTTTTTTTAAATAACTAGAATAGGATCAGTGCCAAGGCCCCCCACCACAGGTGCTGAGAAAGATGGATTTTAGCAAAGGCTATACAGTGGCACCTCGCAAGACGATTACCCCACAAAACGGTTTTTTCGCTAGACGTTGACTTTTTGCGATCGCTATAGTGATCGCAAAATGATATTTCCTATGGGGGAATTTTCTGGACAATGATTTGGTCTGTGCTTCACTGACCATTTGTTTGCAAGACGATGTTTACAGCTGATCATCGGCTTCGCAAAATGGCTTCCCTATGGGCGATCTTCGCAAAACAGGTGTTTTCGGGACCTATGCTTCGCAAGACAGCATTTTTTTACAGCTGATTGGCGCTTGGCAAAATGGCTTCCGTATGGGCGATTTTCGCTGGATGATGACTATTTTCCCCATTGGAACGCAGTAAATGGGTATCAGTGCATTCCAATGGGGAAACGCTTTTTGCTATAGGACGTTTTCACAAGAGAGCGATTTCAATGGCACAGATTAATATCGTCTAGCGAGGCACCACTGTACATAGCATGGTCTCTGGCTCCTTCTACTGGCTAGTTATGGTAATTTCAACTTTAGAAATATATGTTTTTAATATTTTCAGACCATGAATAAGGGAATCAACGAATACTGATCCCATGGATATGGGGCTCCTACTGTACCTCCAAACCCCCCATATCAAGCCCAGAAGTAGCCATCTTCTGCAAGCTGTCATCTAATGTGACTGTATTTTCACCCAGCCTCCATCTGCTTTATTGTACTTGATTTGGTCCCCCTCCCTCTTTTGCATATGTTTTCCTGTCTGTGCCAGATAGCACACCACCGGTTGTGGCTACTGAATATGCTCATCTATCATTTGGCTAGCTAAAGTTGCGTACTGCATGGATTTTTCCCCCTTTCCCTTTAAATCCAATATTCTTCTGCAAACATTAGTTTCTCCAAGCATTTTATCTCCAGACCTATTGGTGCCCATTTCCTGAATGCTTTAATAGAAAGAGGCATGGTAATAATACAGAATGCATTTCTGTACACATTACTAACAAATAAATCCCACTGAACTCAAAAGGAGCACAGTGATAGGTCTGGTCAGTTGCAGATATGGCCGTGACAGAGCCATACTCTTATTGTTTTCTTTGTCCATATTTGCAACATATTTTATTAAAATGACTTTGCAATAAAATGTATATACTGTGTTTTGGATAGCATCTTTTTTTCCATTTTGTGACTTAAAGATAAACATCTATAGTGACTCCTTCAGAGATGAACTTTAAAATAAAAATATATAACTATACTGTACATAAATATTATGTTGGGTTGATTTCATAAAAGCAGCCTGTCTTTCACTTTAGTTGACAGGTGCAATCTCAGTCGATGTGTGCAAACTAGGTATGTGGACTGTGTGGGCTATGTTTGGACAACTGTGCAAACTAACTGAATTGAGGGATGTTTATGAATTTCTGGAGCAGGTCCAGGGCAGAAATAAGGAAAGGGGAGATCAGAAGTAATAAAATATTAGTAGATGTGGCTGCTGGCATCAAAGGAGGTGAGTGACAACTGAATCCCCTAGTAAGGTCCAAGATCTCTTTTGGGCATTCCAAACACTGAGGCACTGGGGAGGGATCAGTTTTAGGACACCAATATGTGGTATATATTTCCCTCTGCAGCATCTGTGCCCACCATTTTACATAGGAGTGGTATAAAGAGAAAGGTTTGTACTGCAGTTTGGATTGTCTTTTTTACATTTTTCTTTGTTCTCTCACTCAGTCTAATTTACTAAAATTTATCGGAATATTATTATTAGGATGGAGTTCAAACCCCAAGGAAAAATTCCCCTATGGAAGTGACTACAGCACCTTGGTGCACAGCTACTGCCTGTGCCTAAACTATGGGTGTCAAGGACATGGGCACTTAACGAGCACACCATAGTGTGCCCGGTTTTGAAGGATTTCTGCAAAGCTAACTAGACAAAAGGTGTCTTCCAGTTACTAACCATGCTTCGCTTTAAACCTCTGTGTTCAAATTGAGGATTCACAAGGTAAGTGGCTAATTAGGCAAAGAATTTGGGACAAAGAGAGATAAAGCGTGTTGGCTCAAGTAAATCATATTTGCTCACCGTTAGCTCATCAGCTGCCATTCCTTAATACTATGCAAAGTGGTGGTTATCTACAGAGTCTAAGTATCCCAAAGGACCCTGGAGCTCTATCCAAGCAAGGTTTAATGTGATGTAGCCCTGGTTGCTGGAAGGACGATATGGAGGACTCCCCGTGGCCTCAAGGCTGTGCCACTGTGGCTCTGGGGATGTGGAAACATTGTCATAGATGTCGTTCTGTTGCAAATCTTGTCCAAAGGCTAGAGGAAAGCAAGATGTAACTATGGTCCCTGCTTGTCCTGTGTTGATGGACACGTTCCAGTTTTTGCAGCCTGATGATGTGGATGGGACTCTTGGGCAGGTGAAGGCTACCACTTGTCTGCTGGACCCTTGCCCTTCCTAGCTCATAAAAACTGCCAAAGAGAGATTGGCTGAGCAAGTATGAAGGGTGGTGAATGCCTCCTTGCAAAAGGTGTGATCCCAGTATGAGTAGAGGAGGCAGTAGTAAGAGCACTGTTTAAAAAGCCCTCCTTGGATCCCCTGGTATTGGATAATTACCTGCCAGTCTCTAATGATCCATTCTTAGGCAAAGTGCTAAAGCAGGTTATGGCTTCGCAACTTCATGTGCCGAAAGAGGACTTTGCAGCAGTCATAAGGCAACTAAAGCAGGAGTTGACTGAACTTAAGGCTGATACTTCAGCTTGCCCACCTCACATGTATTGGTCACATTCTCATTTAATATTTGTTGGTGTGGAGTTCAAAATTCAATGCGTGTGAAGACCCAGAGTGGAAATTCTGACTGGAGAAACTCTGGATTTGAGGACTGCCATTCTATACTGTTAGGTACTATTCATCCATTGCTGAGACATCATTACTTTTCAGATTAGGCATGCCAATTTTGTTTGTTTATAGCCTAGGTGACATTCTGCCTTTTCTTTTCTTTTCTTTTATTCTTTGAATTTTCATCATGAAAATGAAGTGAAATATTAAAGCAACCAAAGTGTTTCAGAATTTCCCCTCCTTTTACAATAATTGCCTGACAAACCTCTCAATACAAGAGCTTAGCAAATCCCTTTCTTCTTTTATCCCATGGTTTTGTTTCTCCAACATCTAATTACTCCAGTGAAACTTTTAAAAGCCTTTGTTAATGCATGTTCTTAATTAGATCTCAGTAGAATTCAAAACTAAGTTACCTTTAAATTGACTCCATTCTCGGAAAGTCAAGTATTAAAGGCAACAATAACAACAACTTTCAAAAATATTTTGAAGCAACAAAGGAATTATTACAATTAACTAGCTAACTGTGATTAGTTATATTCAGTGGATAGCCACCAGTACTTTAAAAGTGTATTTAAATGCATTTAAAAGTAACTTTTCAAAATAACCATTATACCTAAAATAACTTTGCAACTATTACTTATTCATGAACAAAAAGTAAGCAAGTATTGATAACTAAATTATTTATAACTAGTCATTTCCAAGCTCCAGTTTTTGGATGATGATTTTGAGCACCAGCTTTGATACATTTTTACTGTTCTATCCTTTTATATTTTATGCTGGCAAACTGAAACAGTCTTATCCCTGCAAATGTTTTCATACAATAGTGCTCCATGGCACCGTTGATGTTGGTTTTTAATGTGTTATCATAGTGCTTCTAATGTTATTGTTTTAGGTTCATCAAGCACATTGCGTTCCTTCTTTGCTTTCGGAATGCTTCCTTGCTTTAGGCCTTTTTTAATAGAAAAGAGATAAATAATATGCTACATAAATAACAATTATATTATTGCTTCTGGCTTCGGATTGCTCCTAGTTTAATTTAACAAATGCATTGTTTTCTTCTTTGTTGTCTGGATCTTTCCTTGCCTGGGGTGCTTGCTGTTTAAATCAGAAAATGAAACAAATAAACTGCATACAATTTGATTCTGTAATTTCTTTGAGTCTGGATCTATAAGGAAGGTCCATCATAATCTGTTACTTGTACCAAATTGACAAAAGTGCCCACTCTTCAGTACACTGAAAGCTGGTTGCACCTTAGTAGCCTAACCATTAAGAAGCAAACTGGATGCTACCTGTGGAACAGTTTTAGAAGAGGTGCTTCCTCAAGTGTTGAAGGACACCTGCTTTTCCTCACCTGCTTATCTTGCAGTTAATAAGCTTTTTGTTTTCTGACTGGTTACTGTAAGGTAAACACAGGCTTAAATTTACATCTGGTTGTTGTGACACAGCTGGGAGAACATCCATTGCGGATGAGAAATAGGTTAATTGTAAGAGATACACATTCACCTTAATATCTAATCTTACCCTTCTGTCAGTCAGAGAAAGTAGAAAATGAAATCTTGGGCTGAGATTTCTACAGAGCGGGCAGATGTTCAGGAACTGAGGCAGATTGCCGTTCAGGGTTTCACGTCAGAATCATGAGTGTCCTCACTGCTCAAAAGAAAAGACTACTTGCCATCATTGTTAAATTGTACCAAGACACAGTGTTCACTAATGGGTACATTATATCATCAGACAGTTTGGTCTCAGACAGTTCCAACTTATCCCACTGTAGTACAGTGAGTAATGTATGGTATGCAAAGAAAATCATAGTGCTTTGAAGCCAGAAAGAGTGAGCCTTGTATAACGGGGACATTTCAGGTAACACAAATTGGGATAGATGCAGGGATTTTGGAAGACAAGCTGTGGCATTAGAGAAAGGGGGACTGGACTTGCTGTGGGCATTCATAAATGACATAGATATCAGCCATGAAAAACATGTGGTAGTCAAGGAGAGGAAAAATGAGAAGGGAGAAAAACTGCACCATGACATATATTTCTGAATATAATGCTTTGGTGTGCAGAAGATGCTTAGAATCAGTGTCTTCTAACTGTAGATAAATATCACTGTTACACATTTCAGTGCCATGTTATCTGGAGTAGGTGGGAGACTCAGAAAGGCATTTTATCCCTTCTTCATGAGTTGTATTTTAGAGATGTGAATTCTTGCGCCTAAACAAATCAAGACAGACATTGCTAAGCAGAATGTGCTGGTGTTGTTCCTCTCGTTGTCAAATCTGCATGCTATAACTTTCCATGACAACAAGATATCAGTGCTAGTTTTTCACCAATGAACGCCTAGCTAGTGGCAGTATTGATGGTTTGGTGTAATGTAATGATTCACTCAGGGATATTTACTTAGTAGAGAATCTGTCCCTCCGTTTTGTTTATGTGTGACAATCCCATGACAGTCTGATCGCCCACAAGGGCCTTTATCCCATCCCTCAGTTCCTTGGTGTTTGAGTTTTTCATGTGTTTGAAGCAAATTAATCCTGGGTCATAACATAGCTGGCAAGAAGAAAGAGAAAGAATATGAGAGAAAATTATCTTCACAGTCACCACAGACATCAGCAAGGACCAAAACCACAACTCATCATACATTTAATTTGCTTTCAAATATCATTTGAAAACAACTATAATTTTCTGGCAGGCAGCTCATTATGATGGGATTTTTTAGTAATAAATCCAGAGCACTTATATTTAGCTCCTCCACTGCAGTTCATTTTAAATGCTATTATGCCCCTTCAGCCCAGAATATGAGTAGACATAGTGAAACAGTTTGGCTACTCTCTCTCTCTCTCTCTCACACACACACACACACACACACACACAGAGAGAGAGAGAGAGAGAGAGAGAGAGAGAGAGAGAGAGAGAGAGAGAGAGAGAGAGAGAGAGAGAGAGAGAGAGAGAGAGAGAGAGAGAGAGAGAGAGAGAATACTGAGGTGGAAAAAGTGGATGAAGGGATCTGGCTAATATAGATCCAGTTCTTCCAAAACACACAAGTTTATGAGAGCGAGACACTCTGCTTCTGTTCCCATGATTTAAAAAGCCAGGAAATGGCCCAAGATTGCAACACAATATTGCACCTGGGTTACCAGCAGGAAAAAGAATGCCAAACTTTACATAGCAAAGGGCAGCCTGAATGTTGATAACACCAATGGCAGCAGTCAAAACAGCCACAAAGTGACACTATGTGCCTGTAAAATCCCAAAAGCTGATTTTTTTAAAAAAAATCCGTTAACCGTTTCTCACCTAAAGCAATTGTCAGGGTGGTTTTTCAACAAGTGTGATTGGGGGGGGCATTCTGATCCCATAGTGGTATTCTAATTTAGATTAGGTTCCCTACAGTTTCTCTAGAGTGAGAAAGAAAAAAAGGGGGGGCTGATAGCTATCACTTTAGCCTCTTCTATAGTCTGCTTCCAAATTATTTCAACCATAGCTTCTTGTACACTCTGTTCTATGGAGCAGAACACAGTAAAGCAAACAGGAGCATGACTCCAGAAGAGGGAAGAGTGGCATTAGTCAGGAAGACCAAGTTGGAGTAAGAACAGCATGACTCAGAAGCAAGGAAGAACAGTGATGTGTGGATGACTATTTCCTCACCAGTAAAACTGTCAATGTTGCGAAACCTGACTATTGAGCAACAAAGAAAATCTACAAACAACTCTTCCCTGCAGTCACCTGAAGGGAGGAGGGAATTGTCGAAGTATGATATTTTGAATAAATAAATTATTAAATGATTAAGGGTGCAAGAAATGCAGCCCTGGAAATGTGAAATATAATTGTAACATGAAAGTTGAAACAGCAGTGAACTGCCTGGTAGAGATTATTTCAGGACAGAAAGATGAAACCTTGAAGATGAAAAAGAAAAAATTAACAGTTTAAGTACCAATATACTGAATGGCCATTAGAAGCCATTGCAGAAGTTTTTTTTAAAAAAAGATTTATTAAATCCCAAATGTTTCCTCTAAATAAGCAGAGACACATCATTTTTCTATGGAGTTTGTCATTTGAAAGGCAATGTAAGTCTGTACAGACTAAACAAAATATCCCTTCAAGTCTGCTAAAGTAGAAACAAACACAGATAAGAGACTTTGTTGGAATAAACCTTATCAGCCAGTTGTCCGCTATTGAAGCAAAAGTCTATGAGTTTTGCATTAGCCTGTTGGAATCTGTAATCTTGGCAAAAAATTTTTTAGAAACAATACATAAAGATTAGGAATAGGGATTTGAATCATGTGACTCGCTGTCAAACTGCACATAAGTTTCACTGGAGACTCAGCTGAGACTCAACTAGGGTTTGGACTTAACTCATGACTTGGAACCCACCCACCCCTCCTTTTTTCTCTGTGTGGTGGAATGCCCATGTCACTCCTGTCCATCATATGGAGCTCATGTGCAGGAGTCTATGATAGGACAGGAGGGGTGGAGTTAGAGTGAGAGTTGGACAGTGAGAGAGAAAGGGAGAGGTTAGGAGATTGAATTGAGAGAGTTAAGACAGAGAATGGAAAGTTGGAGGGTTCAAGAGAATAGGAAAGAGTTAGAAGGAATAGAGAGTAGATGGATAGTCAAAGAGTATTGCTGAAGTGGTTATTGTGAATAAGTATACACAAGCGAACGTGTAATCAAACCCAAATACTAATGAGAGATCTTAAACAGTAATAAAAGCACATCCATGATCTATATCTGTGATTTACCATCTAAAAATTCAGTAAACCTGTTTATTGGCAGCACACGTCTGAGATACATATATTTGGTATAGTGTGGACTAGATCCACTGGTGGCAGTGTAAAAAGAGGAAACACATCCAGAGGGTGGACCTGAGGGTTTGGGAAGAACAAACAAGGGACAATGAGTGGATGCAACACTGTGGGGAAAAAAACTTATTTAATAGGAACTCACACACTTTGGGCTTGGGACTGAATAAGTATACACAAGCGAACGTGTAATCAAACCCAAATACTAATGAGAGATCTTAAACAGTAATAAAAGCACATCCATGATCTATATCTGTGATTTACCATCTAAAAATTCAGTAAACCTGTTTATTGGCAGCACACGTCTGAGATACATATATTTGGTATAGTGTGGACTAGATCCACTGGTGGCAGTGTAAAAAGAGGAAACACATCCAGAGGGTGGACCTGAGGGTTTGGGAAGAACAAACAAGGGACACTGAGTGGATGCAACACTGTGGAAAAAATCTTATTTTAAATAGGAACTCACACTTTGGGCTTGGGACTTTGGACTTGGTACCAAAGACTTGGGCTTGGGACTTGGCACCAAAGACTGGGCAACATCCCTGTTAAGGATATACAAATCCATGCCTATTAAAGGGCTGGTGTGACATAAGCAAGAGGGCATCCAGAAAGCTGCCAGACAGACAGCACAGAGTCAGCTGAGCCACAACAGAGCCATGCCAAGATGAGCAGCTGAGAAGACAGGGGAAGAAAAAGATAACAACAGCTTCAGATACAGCAGCACAGAGACAACATACAAAAGTCATGGATTTTCCTCCATAGATTTTAACTGGTAGACGGCTAGATGAGGATGTAGAAAACTTTATATTTTTCACATTTGTGTTCAAATACACTAAAGGGTCAAGAAATGTATTCCTACCATTATTCATTTATTAATTTTTATAATATGTGCTATTTGCAAGCTCTTTTATTTTTAGACTGACTAATTTTTGAACTGACTTCTTATTAGTAACTTTTTAAATTAAAAGTTTATAACAGAAATACATTTGTCTGACTTAAATATTCTTCAATTTATGTTCAGCCTTCATATATTTTAAAGGATTTTAGCTATATCTTTTGGTCACAGCTATAAGAATGATATCTAGAGGTGACTTTTATGCATAGAAACAATATGGATAAATAAAGTTTGTAGTAGACAGCATGCTACCTCTCATGTTATGATGCCATGTCCACAACTTCTCACAGCATATTTCTAAAGAACACAGGGACCTGTAAGGTAAAGGTTAAAAACATGTCCTCTGTTGCTAGGGGAAGCTTTTGTTGTAGTAATCTCTCTTCTGTGGGCATCACTGAGTAGAATCCTTAATGTATGGACTGTGTTTTTTTCTGCCTCTTTAATCCATCTCTTTTTATAATTAGAGTTCACAGGAGGCATGCTGTTAAGCTCTGACAATGATTTATTTGAGAGGGAAAAATTATCCTAGAGACATACTGATTTTATAAATAAATTGAGTGACTCTTTAATATATAAAAGATGATGTAACATTTTTAAATAAACAAGCAACAAATATTGCAAAAATTATAGAATGGTTCATTTCCCTAAGTGAGCAGCCTCTATTTTATATGCCAGCCAAAGCTGTAAAGCAGTAGTCAGGGCAGAGCCTCTTAAAAGTCAGGACAACAGAGCCAGGCTCTGCGGGATGCCTTTATAGCAGAAACAGCCAGATTAAATGCTCTGTTTGTCTAAACCATGCAGAAGGGTCTTTTTAACAGCTTTAAATCCTGTTGGGAACAATGACATCAGACAGGCTGTAATTGCACTGCACAGGAAAGTATTTTCCTCACCTCATCAGTCGTAGCCTCTCTTAGGGTGTGAACAGATAGCTGAAAATGCATGTGCCTGATTGCACCAGAAAAGGTTGCATGAATGGGAGCAGTTTCCCTTAAAGTGGCCCTTCCACCTGCTGGGGAATTGTTCCAGCACAGTCCCAAGATTAGAAATTCTATTGCTGCACCAAAAATATCTAATTTGGTGAGGGATTGGGTTTGCCGGGGGCACATTTCTTAGCACACCATGTGATCACCTGGGAAAAGATCCACCAGACTACTTCACAAGCAGTTCAGATTGCAATCTACTAGCCTGGCAGCCACAGTTACCAGTTTTTCAGTAACAATATTAGTCCTCAGTGTTTAATTGTAGAATACATTGCACATATACAAAGGATTCAGTCCCATTCCCCATCAAACTGGACCCCTTCAAACCAGTTTTGGTATTTCCTAATGTAATGTGACTTTTCTTCAAAGGAATCACAACTGCTCCTGGACACCATACATAGCTTTATGGGGACTCTTTATAAAATTGGATGCCCCAAAATCAGTGACTTTTAAAGGTTTCATTTCTCTGAAAATGACAAGGAAAAGAAGGGATAGTTAGGTGGACTTTGCAGGTGTTTGGGGGGATTAGATGTACAGAGTGTATAGAGAAGTTTTCCACAGATGCATCAAGGGACTTGACATGACACAGCTCAGTAATGGATAGTCCATTGTGGAGAATGGGGAACTGATCCATCTTGGGTGAACTCCAGACACAGCCTAGTGAGAATCTGAGAAACAGCAGTTGGAATGTGACAAATGATTTTGAGGGAATAAGTCAACTGCCCAGCTTTGAAACCAAGCACAGAGGCAAGCAGGAGTCTGTAGAAAGATTTTGACCTTGGGGTTTGGAAACATTTTTCTGATCCTCAACGGAGCCTGCAACTATATGATCAAATACAGTGGGATTTGCTCTGCTTATAAAACAGGTGACTTTTAAATATTTTATTGATAACATGACACAAAGGCTGATTCAAATCAGGCCAGCCCTTTGGCTCCCTCCCCTTTTTTTCCTCCCTGCGTCTGTAGGGTTTCTGTTTTTTTTAAAACTGGAATTATTCAAACAAACTTTTTCCTGTGTGGTTAGTGTAATACGTTCTTGCAAAGATGGGTGTGTGTCTGTAAGTGGTGTTTACATATTGTAAGCTATTGGGGCATGGTGTTCAGGACTGGGGGAACACACCTTCACATTCTTCCCTCTCCCTCAATCATCCTCTGATTTTTAAAAATTTCTTACTCTTTTTTTCTTTTTAAAGAAATACCTTATAGGCATCCTTCACTCTCGAGAGACTATGGTAACATGCTCTGAATTGAGGAGTGTCCTCTCCAGAGCATGAAGCCTGGGTAAAGTAATATGGAGGATAGGCTGTTACCCAAGCAGCAGATCCCCCCTCTCCACGTTGCTGAAATGGTCCAATGGAAAGGCAAGAGCCAATACAATTGGTTCCAGCAATGTCGCAGGAGTTGGCAGAATGACACGAATTGTCTTCGGGATTCCAGCTCCGGATTTTGCCTCTAAGTTAACTCCTAAAGCCTTTTCCATCAGTGGATATAGCCTTTTCCATGAGTGGAATAACCTTTATAAGATTAGCACTAGATCATCCTATTACCTCATCACTGGGTCCTCATTATTATTATTTCCTATATTTACACCCCATAAAACGATTGTCAGAGGCTGGGCCACAGGATGGAAGGATTGGCAGAGGTGAGACCAGAGGAAGGAAGAAAAGAAGTGGGGGCTGTGGATTGGAATGCAAATTGTATCATATTCAGACTGAACAGTGTACAGTACTCTCAAATCAATCCACAGCCCCTATGTGAATACTCACTGCAATTTCGAAAGTAATACAGACTGTGAATCAAATTCCAGCAAAGATGAATCTCTCCCTTAGTTCTGGAGTGAAAAGATTGGGATGGAAGTAACACAGTATCCGTGAATGTCTACCTAGCCCTCATGCCCCCTTGCTTGACCGTCAAAACTCAGAGCACACAAAGGCAAACAATCCCCTCTTTTACACTGCTGCCACCAGGTGATCACTAAATCACCATTACTTCAGGAAGATAAAGGTTCAGGTCCACACTTCAAGGTCTTTTAAACAGAACTTTTGTTTATTGATTACTGAAACTGCAATATACTCTTAACTCTAATCACACCTCAGAATTCCCCAAACTCCACACTCTAACCCCTTCTCCCTTCCCTCCCTCTGACTCTGTTACTCTTACTGTCTGACTGACTCTCTGACTCCGCCTCTTATAGCATCTCTCTCGGCTCCGCCTCTCAGCAACATGAATATGCATGAACCATTACATAACAAAACATGAACCATTGACCTAATGAATGGGGAACGCTACAGCTACGTACCTGCTTGCCTGCCTAAATGCTCTCCCTATGCGTGTATACATGTATGTGTTTGCATGCCACTGGCTGCTGTGTCTTCTAACTCACCAAACACAATATGCAGCATCTATCAATGGTGCAACTTTTGTCCTACTTCTTTCCCTTCTGCCAAATTGGCACTCACCGTTTCTAAAATCAGGATCATTTTTTAAAGAGAGAAATTCAAGAAATTGTCTGAGGTAAAACAGGGACAGTGTTTTCACAGAAAACTAGAGATCAAAGGCACTCCCTAGAAAACAGGGACAGCAAACACATATGGAGTTCTGGGGTGAGTGAGCATCTGCCTTCTCTCTCAAAATGAAATGCATCAAAACATCTGCCACTTTTCTTAATGAACACAGTGTGAATTGCTCTTTAAAACACCCACAGTCAATAAGGCAGGTGATCATTGCTCAAAGTGCTCATTCATCAAGCGGATAGTGAGAATCAAAAGATTTCCTGACTATTGAGTTGAAATGACTCGGCTTTTCAAAACAACACCCACACACATGACTCCAGAGACATAGGCAACAGCAGCAGATAGAAGCTTCATCACTTGCAGGTTGGTTGTGCATGCAGGGAAAAAATTTTAGAATGTGCACATCCAAATATAGGGGTTTTAAAAAATATTTCAAATTGAATGCACAATGCATTGAACAAGAGCAGCAATATTGTATTTAAAGTGACTTGTGCAAAATGATGGATGTTTAGTTAGCCAGGTGGGCTTTGGGTAGGTTGTTCCCTCGTCTTCTTTGACAGGTACACTAGTCATTCATCACTTTTTTCTTAGAGTACTTCTCTTTCCTTCAAGGAACTAGTTCTCTGAGGTCCTTCATCAAAGATGACTGGTCAATTATGAGATTGTCACCATGATGATCATCAGCATACTTTATACACATAGAACCCAGCTCTAGGAGCTTCACACTCATGCTTTTAGCCCTATTTTATATTTAATGGATTTCTTAATACAGCAAACACAAGCTTTTTCTTTTATCTTACCATGAATATCTTGATTACACACAATTCATGGGTGTATGTTCACCTTACTAGATTACTGTATTCTGCAAATGTAATTATTACAAAATCCTAATCCTACTGTAGCATTGTGTTTGTTTGGCCAAATTAAACAACACTTATAGATGTGTCTTCCACTTTAAAACTTAGACTATACGTTTATTATCTGAGGACTAAGACTACACACAAGATCAAAAACAATTTTAAGTACATTGATTTAGAACAGTATAAGTAAAATATTAAGAGAAAGTTACAGAAGTATTATACTTACAGTGAAGACAGCATAGGAACATAAGAAGCTTCATTTTACTGAATCACACCCTCAGTCCCTCTATCCTGGTACCATTAACTATGGCGGCACATTACCTGGGTTTCAGGTTTTTATAGCCCCACCTGAAGGTAGTAGATTCTTGGTATTCCCTGGTGGTCTCCCATTCAAGTACTAACCAGGGCTGACCATGCTTAGCTTCCAGAGTCAAAGAAGGCCAGGTGTGATCCAAGTGGTATAGTGGTAGCCCTTTTTGGAGTTCCACCAAAGTGGCCTCTAGAAAGTTGAAAACAATGGCCTTTGAACAGTGATATTTTCCTGCCTGGATCTTGATTCATATGTTTAATCATGCTAAAATCAAAACAATTGATTGGTTTGTTGTGCTTATGCCCATTTTTTTCTTGGAAAACACATTTCCTTACTGTGATTATTTGCTTCTCTCTATTTTGCTGAGTTTGACTCCTTGCCCCTGATAAAATCCTGTCCCGTGTCATACTACATGGTTAGAAATGGAGTTGGTAGTGACTTTCTCACTTGAGACTGTCCATTGCCAAGTTTTTCAGCTGTTATAGCTCAGCATCTATCTCTCGTGTACAGCTTTTCACCTACCTTGTGACATAGTATTCATTTTCTCTTCAACCTAGAAAAGGTTCTAAAGTTACTTAACTAAGCTAGACCATTGTTCCACCTTGAACATAGCTGATTATGGCAGCTAAGCAACAGTGGGCCTGGTTAGCTGTTGGATGGAGACTTCAAAGGGATCCCCAATTAGGGAAGAATCCTGCCGGTAATTCGGGAGAGCTACTGACAGTCAGTGTTGACAATTCTGAGCTTGACAGTGCAAAGGTCTGACTCAATGTAAGGCAACTTCTGACATTCTTAACTCAATATGTCACATGCAGATATTTGCAATGCTTGCATTCTCCCAAACTCTAATGATCACTTCCCATAATCTGTAGTCAAAGTATTTCTCTCTCTGTGTGTGTATTTAAATTCCTCACATAGAATTCTTTAATGATTGTGCCTTTTTGCTAACTGCACTGAATATCAGCTTCCCTTGAGTGATATGTTTTCGAGACATGACCATTTGTGTTCACCTAGTGAAAAGCCACTAATCATGATACTTGTCATATTCTGCTGCTTTTCAAAGAACTGCTCATCCAAGGCAGCTCACATAAACCACTAGAATTACACAATATATTAAAAACTACCTCATCATAAACTACAAAACTCAAAACCTCATTAAAAAAATACTAGAGCATGGACAAATACCTTTTTTGGTTTATAATTGCTGTAATCTGTAAGGCAATATGGCCTGTTAGCTGATGGACTCTGACAGCTACCATTTTTTCTTGTTGTCTTTGTTTTGTTTTGTTTTTTAAAGGAGCTTTACTGGTAAAAACTGTGTTAAGATGTATAGTCAGGTTTGTCTGATCCAGTTGAAATTAATGGCTATGGGCATTGCAAAAAATGAGCTTTGACTGAAACTATACCTTTATTTAGTAGGAAATAGATTATGAGTCTCAAAAGCTCATACAGTATTTGAAACCAATCCCCCTCAGAATCTTTTCCTGAAGTGAGTGCTGAGGCAACAAGATAAATCTTTCAGAAATTTCTTGGAAATGGCTGAACAGAAAAATAATATTTTTATCTTTCAATCATCACCTAGAGATTACATTCTGGAAAAAAAAGGTAACAGTTCAGTTGCTATGTATTACATGTCATCAAGTTGCATCCAATTTATAGTGGGCCCTGACATCCAGTTTTATCGTTTTATCATTGCCACCCCACCCCAGTGAGTTTCTGAGTGGGTACTTGAACCCGTCTCGTGCATCCTAGTCTGTGACTCTACCCACTACACCACCCTGGATCCCATAGTTCAGTTGCACATTTTAAGTCCAGGTTGACCCAACTTGGAGCAAATAATGAGAGATTAAAACTCACCCTGTGAAACTCAGCCAGATTCCCAATGATATCTCTGAGAGTGTGATGACAACTGAATTCATTCCGGTCCTCTTTTCATCTCCAAACATATCCCTCCTCTCACTTAACTGGCTACTCTTGTAGTAGTACTGCTGGTACTGAGCAGAAGTAAGAACTCTATTTATGTCTTTCCTTCTCTTCCCAGTACTTGGAGGCAACAATGTGCATGTGAACTATGCATGAGTAGCTCTGGAAATGCAATTTCCCTTAGTCTGTTGACATCTATTAGGGGTAACTGGCATTCACAGCCTGAGCCAGTGATAATAGACTTCACCAGCATCTGTGATGCATTTCCTACTTCACATCCAGATTCAGGCCACCAACCGTATATGCTGGTCTCACAAGGATTGCAAAATATATGTACTAACTGCCTTGGGACTCCAAAAACCAGAAGTTGATAAAGGAGTGTGTGAACTCTCATCATTTCAGTTTCAAATCATTTTAAGTGTTTTTGAGAGTACTCTCCTGGTTTGTAGCAGCAGTATTTGCCACCGGTCCTGGGGATTGTACTCAACTCTATGTATAACTGCATAACGTATTTCCCCAGTATCAAGTCCCAGTGGCTGAGTTTTCTCTTGCTTTGTCTCTTGTACTGTTTTCTTATATTCATTGTTATACTGTTAACACAGTTATTTGATCACTGTTATTAACAGGGTTCATTGTGGAGAGACAGAACACAAATGCAAATAATAAATACATAAGAGGGTGATCCTGATGTCTGAGCCCAAAGTGCCTTCCCCCAGCATGAAAAAACTTTAAAAACATGTGGCAGATCTATCTCAGTGTCATGAGTGCAGCCGAAGATCTGGAACCTGAAGGGTTAACTGTAGCTGAGGAGAATGCTGAGCAATTAGAAATACAAACACCTGAATCGCCTCCAGATTCTCCTCCCGCAGTAGACAGGCTGAGGGCCAGGCTGAGGGGAAGACTTATGACAAAAAGGTCAGAGGATCGCTTGAAGGCTGCCTGCAGAAACATCCGATCAACTATCCCTGAGTTCTGACAGGATGAAAAGGCTTCCAGCAGTTCAAGGGACTGTTTTACTATATAAACAGCTCTCAGACTGCTGAAAATCTGTGGAAGCAACAAGTCAAATCTCTGGCTTGCATCCACGCTCCTGACAACCTTGAACCTTGTTCTTTGTACCCTTGGCTTTGGACTCTGACCCTGGACTATGTTGTGCGTTTTGGCTTTGGAGTCTGACCCTGGACTACATTGTGTGAATTGGCTTTGGTATTTGGATATCGGCCCTGCATTCCCTGAATTCCTGACATAGGACTGGCTTATTGGACTCTGCTGTTGTAACTCCTGGGAATGTGACACCCAGCAACCCCTAGGAAGAGTACAAAAATTATATGGCTATAATTCAGGGTTTGGCAGTAGGTAGCCCACAGAGTGTCTGCAGGCCCCAGGACACATACCCCAGGTATGAACCCCAGGATCCTCTCTGCCCCAGCATTCCCACAAAGTACCCCAAATTGAAAAAAGGCTCTGGGCTATGTGATTTCCTCTCTAAATGCAGCTTGATCTCTTAGGACCTGTTGGGGACCATATTTAGGAGGACAATGTTTCATTTAGAGAGGGAATCCCCTAAAACTTCAAAAGGCATGATTTGCTATTTTTGGCACTCAAAATCTTCTGAGGATTCAGGGGTGAATAAGGATGCAGCCTTAAACATCCAGGGAAGGGGGGACAATCCCCTCTGGCTCCTCAGAGTTTGGCCACCTCAGCTATAGATATATTATTAGAATGGCAAATTGCAGGTGGCCTTGAATGTTTTGGATTCCAAACCCCACATTCTATCATTACCAATCTACATGCAGGTTTAAAAAAGAAAAGGGGGACATAATTGAACCCATCTGTTTACCTATCGACATCTATTAGGGGTAACTGGCATTCACAGCCTGAGCCAGTGATAATAGACTTCACCAGCATCTGTGATGCATTTCCTACTTCACATCCAGATTCAGGCCACCAACCGTATATGCTGGTCTCACAAGGATTGCAAAATATATGTACTAACTGCCTTGGGACTCCAAAAACCAGAAGTTGATAAAGGAGTGTGTGAACTCTCATCATTTCAGTTTCAAATCATTTTAAGTGTTTTTGAGAGTACTCTCCTGGTTTGTAGCAGCAGTATTTGCCACCGGTCCTGGGGATTGTACTCAACTCTATGTATAACTGCATAACGTATTTCCCCAGTATCAAGTCCCAGTGGCTGAGTTTTCTCTTGCTTTGTCTCTTGTACTGTTTTCTTATATTCATTGTTATACTGTTAACACAGTTATTTGATCACTGTTATTAACAGGGTTCATTGTGGAGAGACAGAACACAAATGCAAATAATAAATACATAAGAGGGTGATCCTGATGTCTGAGCCCAAAGTGCCTTCCCCCAGCATGAAAAAACTTTAAAAACATGTGGCAGATCTATCTCAGTGTCATGAGTGCAGCCGAAGATCTGGAACCTGAAGGGTTAACTGTAGCTGAGGAGAATGCTGAGCAATTAGAAATACAAACACCTGAATCGCCTCCAGATTCTCCTCCCGCAGTAGACAGGCTGAGGGCCAGGCTGAGGGGAAGACTTATGACAAAAAGGTCAGAGGATCGCTTGAAGGCTGCCTGCAGAAACATCCGATCAACTATCCCTGAGTTCTGACAGGATGAAAAGGCTTCCAGCAGTTCAAGGGACTGTTTTACTATATAAACAGCTCTCAGACTGCTGAAAATCTGTGGAAGCAACAAGTCAAATCTCTGGCTTGCATCCACGCTCCTGACAACCTTGAACCTTGTTCTTTGTACCCTTGGCTTTGGACTCTGACCCTGGACTATGTTGTGCGTTTTGGCTTTGGAGTCTGACCCTGGACTACATTGTGTGAATTGGCTTTGGTATTTGGATATCGGCCCTGCATTCCCTGAATTCCTGACATAGGACTGGCTTATTGGACTCTGCTGTTGTAACTCCTGGGAATGTGACACCCAGCAACCCCTAGGAAGAGTACAAAAATTATATGGCTATAATTCAGGGTTTGGCAGTAGGTAGCCCACAGAGTGTCTGCAGGCCCCAGGACACATACCCCAGGTATGAAC